AATCCCCTCTCCCTAATATTGAACACCCCCACCCTCCCCCTCATATTAAAGATTCCCAATATCTTACAACATGCCACATATTGGGAGTTGTTAATGTTTAGGGAAGGTGGGGGGTTTAATACTATAGGGGGAGGGGAGCAGTCCCAGACAGCCAGGACTCCATCATCCCCTTATTACTGCCCAAATTGCCCCAAAGGCCACCCCCGTGTCCAGCAATTTAAAGTGCCCCCGAAGGGTCCATGTAATTATGGTATACTCAGGGCCCGAATTCACATGTAACTGCTTTGGGTCCGAATTGAATCCTAGACTCTAAGCCCTTTACATGCCCCTATTCTCCTACATAGCCCCATCGTCCTCCCAAGAGTCCCCGATTATACATCCAACGTTGCCAGCTAAGATGCCACGCTTTCAGGTAAAGTGCGCGCATGGTTGTGGCCACAGGCAGGGAAGTTTATTAGCCCAGGTAGGTATTACGAAGCACACACACACAATGCTATCCCCTAAGGGTCCAATAACCCAACTAATAGGGATCCACAGCAGAGCTAGACGTCAAAAAGACTTCGCAATGGGACCTTGATAAGTACTACAGGGGCCTAGATGATTCATACTCATGAATACTATCATCTTGGGTTTTTCTCCTGAACGGTTTCGAGTTTAGGATTTTTAGTTTTGGGTTTGAGAGGTTGGGGTTGGGGTTCAGGGTAAACCCTGAAACCTAAACCGCATTCAGCACTACAGGAGTTTGATGGCTTGCATGGAAGGACTCAGAAGGTTCTATATTGCAACATGGTTTGAATTCGGGTCTTAGGGTATAGGGTGAGTTGAATGTAGTGCTTCTTCTAGGCCTCCGGATGAAGTTGTCGTAGCAGAAGCAACGCAACCTTCCCGTCATTTCCCCACAGCTCGATGGCCAATGATGTTGTGGGCTTAGTCTTGCGCAGTCTGTAGAAACCCAAAAATGCCTGGAATTTCCATATGTTCGTCCCAGCTGCTGACTATCGTGCACACCGGCTCCCTTCCAAGCCCTAAGCCCGAAGACCTACGGACATTGGCCTCATTGGAGATGTAGCCCAGCAATCTTTACCCGTTTTAGGTTTCAGGGTTTAGGGAAACCCTAAACCCTTAACCACATAGTGCAGCACTCAGCAACTGCGGGCAGGTCTACGCGCTTTCCCATGCTGGGATGCAGCTCAGGTTGCAGTACCCAAACGGTCCACGTAGGCATATGGTGTATATACAGTGTATAGGGTTTAGGATCTAGGGTAGGTGTATGGTATATACTCAGGGCCCAAAGGGGTTCCCATAAAGCTACTTGCAGGTTCAAGTATATACCATTTAGCTACATGGACCCTTTGGGCCATGCCCGTTTTACTTGAGGGGGGTCCGTGTCCCTAAGCCCTGAACCCTAAACCCTAAACCCTAAACAACCCAGCAGCAGGCGCAGCTAAAATGCATGGGAGGCAACGATTTTCAGATGCAAGCTGGCAAGCCTCAGAAATTGGGTTTAGGGTTTTAGGGGTTTAGGGTTTAGGGTTTAGGTGTTTAGGGTTTTAGGTTGGGTTTCCTTCATGGAGTCCAGAAGCTTCTAATGTTCATGCGGACACCTGCCCGGAGCCCCCGCTCTTGTGGTTAATAGGGGCTAAAGGCATATAACACCTATAGAAGCCATAGTCTAAACTCCTAGTATCCCCTTTACTAACCCCTCTAGTAGTACCCTTTGTAATATAATCCCCTTTAAAGGAGTTTAGACTATCGCTCATATGGTCTTTATAAGAGATGTCCCCTTTTACCCTACCAACCTCCAGTATGCTCAGAGGTGTGTTGAAGCTTAAGGGTCAGATATACAAGGATTCCTACTATGCCCTGAAGGAATTTTCAGGAGTATATTCTATGGCTCCAAAGAGAAACCCTATACCCTGAATCGTGAAACTTTACCTGAACCGTGAAACTTTAAACCCTAAACCGAACACCCTGAACTTAAACCCCAAACCGAAAGTAGCAAATCCCAACCTTTACATCCCAAACCCTAAACCCTTAAACCAGAAACCCTACGATCTTTTGGACACAGCAGGGCCCTACAGCCGACCTGAGGTTCTACCTCAATGCGCGGCTCATCAAGCGCTTCAATGCTCTGTGGGCTCATGGACTACACAATTTAGGGTTTGGGGTGTAGGGTTTAGGGGGTTTGGAGCTTACACCCTTGGAGTTTGTGGTTCGCTTGGCATGAAAGCCGGCTTGATATTAACATTTCTTATGTGTGAGTGTAGACGCACCACAATGGAAATACATGACTTTAGGGGGGGGGGGGTGACTGGGGGGATTGATATAAGGAGAGGGAGGATTTGCGCAGATGCCTCTGCCAGATTGTTTTCGGCTGTTGACGCGGTTGAATAGTTTGTTTCTTCAGAAGCTTTGCAGATTCTATACCGTGAGCCTCAGAAGTGTAGAATCTACCTAGAAAGCCAGTTACCCATGATTATAGTCTACTATCCCCAAATTTCCTACTACTTTGGGTTAAAGTAGCCCATTATTATGGGTAACTAGGCTTTCCAGGTAGATCTCCGACCTCAACATTTCCAAGGCCCGAAACCATGCAGGTGACGAACAACTCGGAAAGTCGAAATCCCGATCCGAACTCGTGAGCAGAATCAGTATGGACATTTTGTAGGG